GGAAATTAGCTTACTCCAAGTGGGGAATGGGCTTCCATTCACTTAAGAACGGGACTCAGGTGACTGCGGGCATGCCTCATTTACCGTCGTGCGGATCTCCTTGCGATAAGTCTCGTTCGCTAGGATGAACCTCCGATCTGGTGCTGTGCTCAGGGCTATGGCCGCGTCCAGGCTCCAGGCCGCTGGCTGATAAACGATGTTGAAGATGTCGTAGGGATCGCCTGAGGGATCGCCGCCCAGCAGCGTCCAGCCGCCGGTGATGTATATTTTGATACACGTGAGACGGCGGAACCCCTGACGCTGCTTTTCATAAGCGTGCGTATCAACCTAACGCCACAGGGACGCAATATGTTTTTTGGTCGTTGCTCTTAGCGCGCAGGCGGTGGTGACACGTGATTCATATTTAGACCAGGTTGTCTGCATGCAGGGTTCTATGGTGCAGATGCGTTGATTGACTGTAGGGGAGTGTCCCACATTTGGGGCTTATCAAACAAAAAACATAGTCTAGTGAAACCTCAGGACAAGTTCGTCTAGTAAAAGAACTAGGTAATGCCACTGCCACACGATCACAAAACATACTAAGGATAGCAATATTCATTATTTTCGAGCCCATAACGCTTTGTGACAGCACCACGCTTCTTCCCGCAACCGCGACCACCGTCTTCATGACAATGACCGTGCGCATCTCTGGTGGGAATAAAGGAACGTTTGTGGTTGGTGCAGCGGGCAAGGGCCTGCTGCCGTGAAGCTTGCTGGTTAAAGTTTGAGTCAGTGCGTCACATGGATTATGTGATGCTCCCATTCCTCGACCCACAGTACGTCTCGTAGTGCCTCTGTGATAAGCGCCATGAGGAAGAAATCAAAGCTATAAGTAGAACGTTTCGTTGAATTCGCGGGTAAATCTACATGGTTGCGAATGTGTGGTGTGTTGTAAGAATATAACAGAACACGGCTGGCAAAAGCAAGGTAGGTTAAATGCAATACTTTCATGGTGGTGAGCAGGGAGTCAAGTGAGACTTCTCCGTCGGCTACTTCAAATCGAAATTCCAGGCTACTCAGGGTTTAGAGAAAAGTACAACTGCTGATCAAATCGTAAGCGTCTGGTGTGTCAGTAAGCGAAAAGTACAAAAGAGGTGGGATACTCCCCTAAAGCCGTGCCCACGAGCTTCCGTACTCTGAGGCGTGCTTCCATGCGGGTGTAAAGAGGCCCGCCGTGACCTAAGTGCAGCCTGAAGTGGGGCCTTCGTCTGGCTCGACTGGGTTGGGTCCGTGCTCATCGTCATCTCCTCCCCAATGTCCCCTGGTCTCGTGGCTGACGGGCGCGGCTGGCCCCGTACCTGCCCCAGCCACATCCACCCGCTCTGCAACGGTCCCATCTCCACCCCTTGTGTCGACAGCTGTCAGACCGCCGCCGGAGCTCCACTGAAGGCTGCTGCTCCATCCTCATGTACATGCTCATGAGCACCGATCAGCGCCGGCCCCGCGGGGATGCACGGCGTGGACCGACGAGGAGCCGGCGGCGCTTGACCGCTGGCCTCTCTGGTTCGCCTCGTCACTGGAATCCTCCCTCTCTGCCAGCGTGTTGACGAGACGAATGTGTCATCTACAGCTCAGTCATTAAGTCTTCGCTCGAAGACGTTGTGACACCCCTCCCCCCCCCCCTTCATTGCGAGCGGGTGACCAGTGCAAAATCCATGTAACAAGCGAATTCATTTAACGAATTAATCCATGTGACAAAAAAGCAAAAAACATTTGAGTTAGATCATCTGCAAGCAAAGCGGTCAGGAATTTTTCCATGAAATTTGCACACGGCCAAGGCCCGCTTGCGGCGCGTGACAAAGTCGCGTCAAAATTCTGTGTTTCGCAAAAATGAGCGCATGCTGTGCGAAACACGAACGCAAAACCCCCATAGTTTTAACACGGGTGGCGCCAATGAAGCGATTCCGGCCGACGGCCCGACACGCTTCGTTTTCCGGAGCCGTATCTCGGCAACCAAGGGTCGCAGCGCCATGCAGCTTGCACAGTGCGATAGAGCACGGAATGGGCCATCGTAATGTGGTAAGTTTTTTCCTCCACGTGACACGTGGCACGTACATACGTGTTGACAAGGTGAAATTGGCCATTTTTGACGCGGTTTTACATTAGCAATTTAAAAGTTGTAAACGTCTAACAATTTTAATGTTGACAAGTTACATTTACAATTCCAGCGGCCACATTTTCAGTGGGCATGGCGAGTTTGTCAAACGCACCGTCACGCTGCAAACCACATTGCAAGTTGCAACGGGCCGAGTTTTAAAAACAGGAGCTGAATACAAGCTGCTACCGTCAAAACTATGCGTGATCTAGCGTTGAAAACAGCGTGCCGGCCGATTCGTGTCGGCGGTCGCCGTTGGCGTACAAGCGTGGAGTTTGTTTCCCGACATTCACAATTGATGCGGATGCACTTTCAGTCGCATGAGGAATTTGTGCAATGCACCGTTGCGCTGCAAATTGCGGGACAAATTGGGAAATGCCGGCGCCTAATACAACAGCCGTTACTGTCAAAAGTATTCATAATCTGACGTTGAAAACCACATCGGCGGATTGGTCGACTCATTCTCTATGCCACACGTTTGTTGATCGCATTTCCGCACGTCGCTCGCAAATGAGCCAAGATTAGTGGGTTGCACGGCAGCTTCTTGCGCCGCGACGGAACGGCGCCGCCCGGTGTCTCGGCTGACGCCGAATGTTGCTCCAAGGTTAAACGGCCGTCTAATCACGTGATTGGCTGCCGTAATTCGTTGCCTGCGACCGATTATGCCATCTCGCACTAAAATCTAGACACCGGTGGGGGTTGCAGCGACACAGGAATGACGGTGTACCATGCGAAATGGTGCGGTCACACATATCACGTGGCATGGGCTCAATGGTGGATTTTGCTCTCTTCCACGGGTTTGCGCGTTTTGTGCCACATCTCGGCACCCGTGGCACGAATACACGAGGGATTGGCAATGTAATGCTGTATAATACAACGGCAGTGCTAACATCGTTCAAAAGGATGACAGTTGATGGAAGGGGCAAAAATCACCGGCCACACCCCAGAACCACTCGCTCATCCCATGGAATAGGTTTGGCTGTGTTGCAGAGAGCGCGGCGAAATGCGCTCTCTCCTGCCGGCGGCCGCCGGACACCGCCAGTACCGCGTGCGGCCTGCGGCCGAGTCTAGACACATAAATCATTGCTGGCGCAGGTATTGCAATAAAACCTACAAACAAAAATGCTAATCTTACTCCTTCTGTATCTCTCTCCCAAGGTTATGGAAAGGTCTTGCCTCCACTTTGAGACGTCTTGAGGGGTTCGCCATGGGGTTCTTCCCCGGGTTGAGCAGCTCATACTTCAGATCACGTACATAATCTCCCGGACAAAAGTGAGGGGAGCAAACTCCAGTGCTTTTGTTGGTAGTGATGTTATCCCTCTTAGCAGCCTTGATCCAGCGTTCGGCTGCTATTTTGTCACTTGGTAAAGCGTGAACAATAACATTGGGTAGCCCCACGCTTTTCTCATCTCCTGTCTTGCAATAGGGAACCAGACAGTATCATCCCATTTTGTTCAAGCTTAACACCTTCAAAGTTTGTAAACATGTAATGTGGGTAAGCTCACTGGTATGACTGTAGAACACGTTTTTAGATTCTTACCAACGTTAAAATTTAAAGTTAAGGTATGGTCATAAGGAGTTCAGTTGGAATCTGAAGTTGTCATCTTTTCATTGTGTTGCATATATACATTGCCCAGACATTAGAGCAGGGATCCAAACATCACAGCAACATAACTAGTTCCGGACAATACCCCTGCAACCTGTCACCAGCAAAGGACAGACTGGCAAGGATCAGTTCAAGTAAAATGCTGAAGGAAATATTCCGTAGTCAGGTCATGGGAGGCGCCCATGCTCCGACACATACATGAACATCCCGGTTTTGTTCCTTTCCTGTTCGTGCAGCAAATATGTCTTCACAGGCTTTTTCCAGAGAAAGTAAAGAAAGTGTTGGGAGGGTCGTTGAATGATTTTTTCTTTCATAGTTGTTTGCGACGAAATTCATTTATTGGCCATTTAACATTAATGAAGCAGCCTCACCAGAACACATCGAGGTGGCTTACCCAAGTTGCGATTGTTGTTGTTCGTCTCTACTGCGCAAGAACTGTAAAATTGCCAGTTTATTGTCACTAGTGGAACATTGCTGGGTGCCATTGTACAGTTACGTGATATCACGTGATGATGCTTTGGCAGTGATTCTAACTCATCAAAATTGTGTTAAAATTCCATCACCTGTACTTTTATTGATTAAAATCGGTATGTAGGTGATCCGAGGCATCTTGCCGCCCAACCTGTCGTTATAGGACCTTGCGTCCACCGCAGTTAAATATGGCATAAATATAAAACATCAAAGAAAAACACGCGGTTATTATGCCCCACTTCCACTTGTCAAGACTCCGGCTGCGCGCCTAGGCACTACCCTTGTGAATGCATAAATATATACACAAAACTGCAGAAGTGCGCATATTTCACTTTTCAGTAGGAAAGCGACAGGAGCAAATGCATCCAAGTGCGTTTACATGGACATGATTGAAACTGCCAGGCTTCCATATGTGATTGCCGTTGCTACGCGCATGAGCTTAAAAATATGCCATGGGTGTAGTTTGTATTATATATATATATATATATATATATATATATATATATATATATATATATCTATATTATAGAAATATATCATATGTTTAGAGCGAGAGAGAGGAGAGAAGAGAGAGAGCGAGAGTTGAGAGGTAGAGAGGAGAGATAGGGAGAGAGAGAGAGAGAGAGAGAGGAGATATGTTATATATATATATTTGTCTTCAGGGAGTATACCAAATACGCTTTTCTTTTTTGACGTGACAACGACGCACGCGGCAAAGTGGTGCGCCAGCACACCAATCTGTTTATGTGTTCGTCGGACCTTGCTCAGTCGCCTGGACGTACGCGTCAAGAAAGCAGGGCGCTGGTAGCCAGGCAGACACTGTGAATGGAGGTGGCACCGCAGCGCACCGAGGATCTGGACTGGGTCCTTGATATGCTGCGGTTGTCTGACACACTGCAAGCGGCAGTAAAGGTGAGCAGTTGACTTTGGCATCTGCGTGTTTGTTGAAAATTGGCTCACTGGTACTCTCCAAAGGACGTCACTTACTTAGTATTTTTTTTCTTTGGTACCTGTACGGCCGACGGAGGGAAGGGCTACGCTGGCTGCCGGGTTTCGAGTACTGTCGTGCTGGGGAAATGCTGTGAGGCATCAGCTGACATTGTGACGTCACTGAAAGTGGTTTTGCATCGATCGGGATCGGGGTTCTTTTGGGCCGACAGAAGGCCATAAGGCTTTTGCTAGTGATATGTCACTGGTATCCGGCTGGGTATGTGACGTCACTGGTCGTGATTTTTTAAGGCCCTTGGGTCCACTGAATGCCGTAAGGCGTCAGCTGGCGATGTGTCGTCACTGGTATTCTGTTAAACATCAGGCGCGACCGGCCTCGTTCCATCTTTTCTTTTCGTATCTGTCTGCTGCAATCATTTGCGTGCCACATAAAGGTTTGACCGAATCACCTCAATGTGTGACGTCACTAATCATCACTTCATTCGAGTGCACTTAGACCCCACGGCCACGTTGTGTTATGGTCCGCGAAGTATCACCGGATGGCGTGACGTCACTGGTATTCGAATAAATTCTGGGCGCAACAGGCCGTGCTTCATTTTTACCTTTGTACCCGTCTACTGCAAGCATTGGCGTGCTGGATGAAAGCTGCCGAACCACCTGAGTGTGTGACGTCACTGATCATGAGTTTCACCGGTGCTTTTGGGCCAACTGAAGGCCACAAGGTGTCAGTTAACGACCTCACTGCTATACGACTGATTGTAAGGCGTCAATGGTCGTGGGTCTTCACGGGCCCTTTAGGACCGACGAAATGCCGTAGGGCATCAGCTGGCGATATGACGTCACTGATATTCGGCTGAACATCAGGCAACGGCCACGCTCCATCTATATCTTTCGTACATGTCTACTGCAAGTATTGGCGGATTTTTTTAGGCCAACTGAAGACCATAAAGCATTAGGTAACGATGTGACGTCCCTGGTGTTCGACTGTGCGTGATGTCACTGGTCATGAGATTTTAGTCTTCTTTTGGGTCGACGAAAGGTCATACGGCATTAACTGACGAAGTGACGTCACTGGTATTCGAACAAACTTCAGGCGCGACAAGCCATGTTCCACCTTTACCTTTGGTACCTGTCCATTGCAAGCATTGCCGTGCTGAAGGACGGCTCTGCCGAATTAACTGAGTGTGTAATGTCACCGACCATTAAATTGTATACTCTTTTGAACACACTACAGGCCACAGGACATTAGCTGACGATATGATGTCACTGGCTTTCGACTAGACATCATGCGCAACAGGCCATGCTCTATCTTTACTTTTCGTACCTGCGTACTGCAAGCATTCCAGTGCTACACCAAGGCGGTGCTGAATCATCTCAGTGTGTGACGTCACTGGTCATGAGTTTATACTGGTTCACGTGGCCGCCCAAGACCACAAAGCTTCATATCTCGTGGAGTATCACGGGAAAATATCACATCACTGGTATTCGGCTGAACATCAAGCGCAACAGGTCATGTTCCATCTTTACCTTTGGTACCTGTCTCTTGGAGGTACTGGCGTGCTGAATGAAGGCTCTGTCGAATCTCCTGAGTGTGTAACGTCACTGGTCAAGAGCTTTTTACGGGATCTTTTGTACCCCCTATACGGTATAGTGCATCAGCTAACGATATGACGTCACTGGCTTCGACTTAACATCAGGCGCAACAGGTCGTGTTTCATCTTTGCCTTTCGTACCTGTAAAAGTATTGGCGAGCTGAATGATGGCTCTGTCGAATCACCTGAGTGTGCGTCGTCTTGGGTTTTTACAGGTTATTTTTGGCTGAGTGAAAGCCATAAAGCATCACCTAAAGATATGTCGTCACTGGTAGTCCACTGAGTGTGTGACGTCACTGGCCATGAGTTTTTACGGGCCTTTTTGGACCGACTCTACTCCAATAGGCATCAGATAACAATATGACGTCAATGGTATTCAACTACACATCAGATGTAATAAGCCATGTTTCGTCTGTACCTTTCTCACCTATCTACTGCAAGTATTCGCGCGACACATAGAGGCTCTGCCGAATTACCTGAGCGTGTGGTGTAACTAGTTATGAGTTTATGCGGGTTTACTCGGGCTGACTGAAGGACATAAAGCATCAGCTGACGATGTAACGTCACTGGTATTCGACTTAACTCCAGGCGCGACAGGCCATGTTCCATCTTTACCTTCCGTACTTGTCTATTGCCAGCATTGGCGTGCTGAAGGAGGGCTCTGGAATCTCCTGGGTGTGTAACGTCACCGGTCATGAGTTTTTTCTGGCTCTTTGGAACCCTCAGTAGGGTATAAGACATCAGCTGACGATATGGCGTCACTGGTATTTGACTTAACCTCAGGCGCGACAGGCCATGTTCCATCTTTACCTATCGTACCTGGCTACTGCAAGCATTCACGTGCTATGTAAAGGCTTTGCCGACTCACCTGAGTATGTGATGTCACTGATGATGGGTTAGTAGGTCATTTGGCCACCCTAGGCTACCAGACATGATATCCCGGAACCATCACCGGATAATATGACGTCACCGGCATGATACCAAATATGAGGCGCAACAGGTCATGACCTTTACCTTCCGTACCTGTCTACTGCAGCATTCGCGCGCTATATCAAGGCGATGCCGAATCATCTCAGTGTGTGATGTCACTGGCCATGAGTTTGTACGGATTCTCTTGGGCCGCTCAATGCCGCAAAACATCATATCCCGTGAAACATCACGGGATGATATGACGTCACTGGTATTCGACTTCACATCGAGCGCAACAGGCCATGTTTCATGTTTACCTTTCGTACCCGTCTATTACAAGTATTGGCGTGCTGAATGAAGGCTCTGCCGAGTCTCCTGAGTGTGGGTGAATACTCAGGTGAATCGGCAGAGCCTTCATATAGCACGTGAGTGCTTGCAGTAGCCACGTGCGAAAAGTAAAGATGGAACATGGTCTGCTGCGCCTGAGGTTAAGTCCAATACCAGTGACGACATATCGTCAGCTGATGTCTTTTACCTTATGGGAGGTTCAAGACAGTCCTTAAAAACTCATGACCAGTGATGTTACACACTCAAGAGACTTCACAGAGTCTTCCTTCAGCACGCCAATGCTTACAATAGAGAGGTACTCAAGGTAAAGACGAACATGGCCTGCCGCGCCTGGTGTTTAGTTGAATACCAGTGACGTCACATCGTCAGATGATGCTTGATGTCCCTCAATCAGCCCGAGTAAACCCGTGTAAACTCATGACCAATTGCATCGCACGCTCAGGTGATTGGGCAGAGCCTTTATGTGGCGCGCGAATACTTGCAGTAGGTAAGTGCGAAAGGTAAAGATGAAACATGGCTTATTGCACCTGATGCTCAATTGAATACCAGTGACATTATATCGCTATCTGATGCCTAATGGCCTTAGGTCGGCCCAAAAAGGCCCGTAAAAACTCATGACCAGTGACGCCACACATTCAGTGGATTACCAGTGACGACATACCGTTAGCTGATGCCTTTTGGCTTTTACTCGGCCAAAAAATAGCCTGTAAAAACTCATGACCACACACTCAGGTGAATCGGCAGACCCATCATTTAGCTCACCAATTGTTTAACAGTCGCGAAAGGCAACGATTGAACATGACCTGTTGCGCCTAATGTTAAGTCGAGCACCAGTGACTTCACATCGTCAGCTGATGTATTATGCCATATGGCGGGTTGAAAAAGCCCGTAACGACCCTTAACCAGTGACGTTACACGCTCAGGAGATTCGACAGAGTCTTGATTCAGCGCGCCAATGCCTGTAAAAGACAGGTACGAGAGATAAATATGTTACATGGAACGTTGCGCTGGATGTTGAGTGGAATACCAGTGACGTCATATCATCCGCGATGCTTCACGGGATGTGATGCTTTGTCACATTGGGCGGCCCAAGTGCACCTGTATAAACTCATGACCGGTGACGTCACACTCTCAGATGGTTCAGCATTGCCTTGATATAGCACGCGAATGCTTGCAGTAGACAAGTACGAAATGTAAAGATGGAATATGGCCTGTTACGCATGATGTCTAGTCGAAAACCAGTGACGTCATATGGTCAGCTGATGTGGTATGGCCTATAGTGGGTTCAAAACAGTATATAAAAATTCATGTTCAGTGACGTTACACACTGAGGTAATTCGGCGGAGCCTTCATTCAGCATGCCAATCCTTGCAATGGACAGGTACCAAAGGTACAGGTGGAGCACGGCCTGTCGCACCTGAAGTTTATTCGAACACCAGTGACGTCACATCCTCAGTTAATGCCGTATGATCTTTCGTCCTCAAAAAAGAGGCCGTCCAATCTCATGACCAGTGACATCACATACAGTCGAATGCCAGTGACGTCACATCGTTAGCTTATGCTTTATGGCCTTAAGTTGGCCCCAAAAAATCCATAAAAACTCATGACCAGTGACGTCACATATACACAGGTCATTCGGCAGAGCCTCCCTTCAGCACGCTAATACTTGCAACAGGCAGGTACGAAAGGTATAGATGAAGCATGGCCCGCTGCCTGATGTTCAGCCAAATATCCGTGACGTCATATCGTCAGCTGATGCCTCACGGCATTCGGCCGGTCCAAAAGAGCCCGACAAAAAAACCTGAAAAAAACCATTGACGTCACACAATCAGTCGTAAAGCAGTGATGTCCTTGGCTGATACCATGTGGTCTTCAATGGGTTCAAAAACACCGGTGAAACTCATGACCAGTGACGTCACACACTCAGGCGATTTTGTAGCTTTCATTCAGCACGCCAATGCTTGCAGTAAACAGGTACGAAGGTAAAAATGAAGCGTGGCCTGCTGCGACCAATATTTAGTCGAATATCAGTGACGTCACGCTATCCGATGATACTTCACGGAACATGATACACCGTGACCGTGGGGCCTAAGTGCACTCGTATCAAGCGATAAT